ACACTCACACACACTCACACTCACACACACTCACACTCACACACACACAGCTTTTGTGACTCACTCACTCAGGCAGCTTTCTCGTACTTCACTGTCCGGAGAAAACATTTTCTTCTAGGAGAAATCAATCCTGGACCAGGGCATCTCAGGTGTTGAATCTTAAGCTGAAGACCTACAGTGGTGAGATTGGACTGTTTTTGGATCTCCCCACTCATGGTTGTGAGTTGCCCAGATCCAGAAGAGCATTGGCTCTATGTAGCAGATGCTGAATTTCTCAAGCCCTTCTAATGTCATTTTCTTCACTGCACTGCTTTTAACATATATGTTTTAAAAACTACAGTAAATATCACATATGCACACACATATATACATATATACAAACATATGGATGTGTGTATTTGCTGTAGCTTTTAAAAACTGACATCTAATTCATAGAACTAAGCTCATTAGTGACAATGTCAACACTCCCAGTAAACGTGTTTGCAGCTGTCCCCATCTCCAGTGAAGGAGTTTTGGTTCTGAAGTCTTGAAATACACTGAGATTTTTAGAAATTTGATTTTTGAAGCATTGTTTTAGTTTTATTTGTTGTTGTTGGTGGTGGCTCAGTGCAATGTCTGACAAAAGGAGACTTAGAACTCATTGTGGTTCACCATTGGAAGGTGTGTCTACCATGACAGGGAAGCCAGGGTGCTAAGGAGGTGATAAGCTACGCACATTCCACTCACTGTCAGGAAGCAGGGAGACAAGAGTGGGGTCCTGCCTCTTTTTATTCAGTCTAGGACTCCAGCACATAGAATGGTGCTGTCCACATGTAGTGGGGTCACCTCCCCTGAATCAACCCAGTCTGGACAGTTCCTCACAGACATGCCCAGAGGTCTTTATTGCCTGGGTAATTCTAGATTCCGTCACTTTGTCAATAAGCATTAACCACCATGAGCACTGAGCCCCACTGAAGAGTACTGCGGAAAATGTTCCACACCCAGGGGGCTGTAGGGGTCAGCTGAG